TCCTAGTCACTCTATCCATTGCTGTCGCAGGCGTTGCATACCAAGTCCTCGCCATATTTTTCACTACATTCCATAATTGTCGTCTCCGTGTGTTTTGATTCCTTTTCTCTTTTTGGCTCGTGCACGGAGATTCTAGTTTTATTGTTAGATGGTCTTTTAACTGTGTGTCTTAACCAAAGCAAACATTGCTTCTTTACCTCCTGATTCACTGCAACTTTTCCTCTCACAAAGTGCATCCACTTCATTCAGTCATGTCATTTCCTTATATCTATTTTATGCAAGCAACAGTTAATGAATGTGTGTAGTTTATTAGTAATTTTGAATAAAAGCATAATATACATGCATATAGCTATCACCTTGTATATCAGTACAATCGTATCAGCAACAACGGTGATTTTGAGAATTCGCCTTGTCTCCTGATTCCTAAAATAGGTGCAAAGAACAGTTCTGGAAAGTGAAGGTGGCCACATGAACCATCAAGTGTCAAGTGGCCAATGCAAATGTGGATCTAACATGTGCCCAATGCCTACCCACACACATCTCTCAACCGACTCTGTGGTGCGTATCAAAAAGAGACAGTGATCTTTAAACTGTCATATGACGTCGACGTGTTCGTCTGCACTGTGATATCGCCTGCTTAACCCCCTTGACATCCTTAACAATACTATTGATATGTCATAAGACAATGGCATTGTTATGTAAGTTCTTTCACACTTTTAAACATTTCATTCTATGCTCCTTCGTGTATTATATATATATATATATATATATATATATATATATATATATATATATATATATTCATGTGTGTATGTATAATTTATATTTAACTTGTTTGGTGATACATATGCATTACACAAACATATATATATATATCACCAGACAGGTTAAACATTTATGATATCTACACATCAAAGCATATGACTGGATGAGAGGAAAAAAAAAGACAATAACATACCAGCAACATACTATCACGCTTTGCTCTCAGTAGAACATCATATATGAACAAGCATGTCTTAATGTACACAAATGTGCAAGCCTATACAAACATATATTTACAAAACTGTCAGCATAATATCAAATTTGTGTTCATATCAATGAAATACTAAAGAAATTATCGTCTGCATTTATACAAACAAACATGCAAGTGAACACACACACACACACACACACACCTATGTGTATATGTATATACACTCGCATGTGAGAATTCACCGACATATAAATCGTCACTAATATCAATAATTCATATCAACATATGTATAGTCTTAAATAGTTGCATTCATACTTCATACTTCATAATTATAAATATATGTAATTCATCTGGAGTACAACGTGAGAGTGAGAATGTTGGAGGGGATGGGAGGCAGACGGAGACGGAGAGAACATGTGCTGGACAGTTTGACGTCATGGCATGGAGGATCCTAAGTGCGGGAGCTGATTGAAAGTACACGAGACAGAAAGTTGTGGATAGACATGACAACCAATGCCACACTGCAATGACTTTAAGAAAAAGTAATTCACCTACAAGTTGATAGTACATATACTTAAAGCTATATGTCTACATACATAGCAATGCTGTTTCAAATCAGAATCAAACCCAAATCACTGTGTTAGTTGGATAATGCACTTATTACTAACTAAACCGTGACATGTTTATATCATCTTGTATTCTGTTTTTATCGCAAAATACTTAAGTTTCTATTTAATTTTACCATACCTTATATTTCAGCGTTCAGTGTACCTAAGAAAATTTATAGATACTAAATATGATAAACTGAGGTAAGGCGAAGAAATAAGATAAATGTTTGGGCAACCCCTGGTAAAAACAGTTATGAGACCCACACACAAAATAATGTTGGCAATACATTAGGCAAGTCACGAAGAGAAGAGAACAGAGAATCACCAAACAGACACAGAAATTAGAAACAAATGGCCTGAGGAACCAAGGAAGTAACCCTAAGACGAACGTTGGTTGAGAGAGGCCGAAGATGCTGGAGAAGACTCCATCTGTGATATGGAGAGGGTGGAAAGGAAACTACCAAATAAGAGAACAGACTAAGAATCCAGCGTGAAACATAATGGCACTAGTATGATGCTGATCGGTGTATTTATTGGAGGCTTTGATCATGGCAAAATAAACTTGTGTTCAGAATGAGTTGAGGTAATGCAAGACCTCTTGTTTTGGTCAACGTTAAAATAGCCTTATGCAGATGACACAGTATTATCAGCTGAAAGCGCACGAGACCTACAACAACGGTTAGACCTTGTGGTACTAGAAGTGCCAAAAAGGGACTTTCATAGAATGTCAACAAAACAAAAACAATGGTTATATCAAGGAAGAAGATAACTTCGAAATGTAACATAGCAATAGAGGGGAAGTTGCTTAACCAAGTCAATTAATTCAAGTATTCAGGAACATTCATAACATCAGATGGACAATGTGTGACAGAAATTAGGAGTTAAATTGGCCAGGCAAATGCCTCATTTCAGAAGATGACGAGTATCTCATATAATAAATCAGCTTCATAAAACAACAGAAACCGAGTACTATAATGTCACATCGAGCCCGTTCTGTTGTATGGCAGTGAATCTTGGAATGTCGGCAAACAGGTTATGAAGAGTTCGGAAGTAACTGAGATACGGTTCTTGCAAAGAACGTTGCGAATACCTTGGACTGATAGAATAACAAACTAACTCTTCGAGTAACTCTTCGCCTCCATGGTACCCATTTTAGGCTCGTTCTACGTGGGAGCACTATGTCAAAAATTTCTTCATTGGAACTGACTGCAAATTCAGCTCTCCCATTATCCAGTTGTGATCAGTTTTACAGGAGAAATTATAATTGATGAGATAAACGACTTTTTTACATCGACATAGAATGACAAGAGTCATTTCTACTAATAAAGTAATAAATCGCACACTATTGCTCCTAATGTAGCTTAACGACAAAAGTTAAAAATTGCTAATGATGATGATGCATTTTACCTTAGATGATATACTCGCTGATCAGCTTTCTATGAACATTTATGAATGTTTAGAAACAAGCAGACTGGAGGTAATGACTCGTGTTTGGTCAACATCTGTATGTCTAGGTTTAGCATGAGTGGAATAAACAAAAGTTCTGGTCAACGAATGAGACGTTGTTGAGTATAGAATATGTGAATGCATTCAAGACTTCGTGTATGACCAACCTATAATTAGTGGAGCTAATGAAAGTTCTTATCAACCCAAGCTGTTGGGTATTGAATGTAGAGAGGTAATTTAAGACTTCTTGTTTGATCGAGCTGTAATTAGTGGAGCTAATGAAGGTTCTTATTAATCTATGAGAAGCTGTTGAGTATAGAATGTATGGGGGTATTTAAAGACCGAGTCTGACCACCGTATGAGAGTCTAGATTGAGAATGAATGTAATAAATGAAAGTTTTAATCAACGCTTGAGAATCTTTGTGTATAGGATACATAGAGGCAATAAAAGACCTAGTGTTAGGTCAATGCATAATGAGTGCATCGGTTCACAATAAGGAGTGTTTATAAAGGTTTTTATCAACGCTTTCCCATATAGAATGATAAGTTGCATTAAGCCAGTGCAGAGTTTCAATTCTGAATTTACCAATAGCAGTTTAGATATATTTATATATTTACATATATAGAATAAGTAAAATTAATTAAAGTGGTCGTGAGTGCAAATAATTTAACTGTCAGAGGATTTTTGGGGGGAACGTTTGAAGTTGTCAAGTCACTTGTAACAGTTTTTGCTTATAGAATGAGTGGAGATTATGAAATTGTCAGATCAAATGTTATGAGGTCCTGCCCATGGAATGATGGGAGCTAATGGTATTTTAATGACTTTCTGCAAAGTGAATGAGTGAAGCTAGGGAAAATTCCATACCAAGTGTTTAGCCATCGTTTAGGTGTAGAATGAGTTTAGCTAATTAACATATCCAGTCATTCTGAGCTGAAATGCTATAGAAAGATTATCGGAATACCATGGACAAAGAAGAAAAGAAATACCCACATTCTTAAAGATCTGAATATCAAGGAAGTTTGGCTAATAGCTTGTCTCGGAAGCTGAAATATGTTGGCCATATCGAGTGCCACGGCGAATAGGGAACAAATAATAGCAAAGGGCCAGGGGCCGACCAACACGAAGATGGGCAAAGGATATCAATGAATAGGATATGAACGTACACGGGGCGCGATAGCTGGCGAGGGATCGAGTTTGTTTTTAGGCAGACCCTGGTGAGAGCGACGTTCTGCAAAGGACCTGCTACTTGATAGTAGAAAACATGTCTTGTCTCTTTAATTTAAGTTAACTGGGGATGGATATATGCATCGACTAGTCTTTGAGAGTATTACGTGGTTAGAGTCCAAACTCTACATCGATGCAACTAGTCCATGTTCACTAAAGGAAGAGAGATCTCTAAAGGAGAAAAGCTCTTCTGAACCACCTGTTGTGGACATCGAACCTGGTTAAAATTGTTAAAAGTGTTCACTAATCTTTCAGCTGCAGAACAACGCTTTGATTAAAAAGATAATGCGGGTATCAAAAGATTTAATAACCTGTTGTAGTTAGAATTTCTAGAACAGTGGCCATTTCTGCTAAAAAAATTTGATACTTTTATGAAATTAGCTTAAGTTTGCGTACTCTTACTTTTGTTTAGGGATTCTTCAGAATATGTACATATATATTACAGTTGTGTATGTTTTAGTTTTGTTAACTTCACATGCAGTATTATTAAGTTAACTAAAGGACCCATGTCACGTCTTTGCAGAATCGGATATATTACCATAGACCTATAGTAGTTTTAGACCAATGGGAATTCAACTGGTGATGTGGCCAACATCACGCCGGCCGCCGTTACTTTCCAAAACTTCCCATTGTACTTGTTTTATGCTGAATAGACCGGAAGCCTTGGTCAGTCTTGGAGAGAAAAGAAATCCGCAATAATCCAAATCTGTGCCTTAGACCCTTGAGGTCTTTAGGTTAGCGTCTGTAA